ACCCTGTTCTGAGAACATTTCCTAAAAGTGTGGTGTCCAGAGTAGGGGGTTCTGGCCCCCAGGGGGCAAGAGGGAGCTGTACCTCCTTATGTTCAATGGCCTCTCCCCTGGGCCCGGTGGGGCAACTTTTCACCCCATTGAGTCACAGAGCCCCGTTTTCGCTCCAGCCCGGTCTTTGTCACACACACTGCAATGTGTTCAATGCGGGAGCCACGTGCTCCCCTTCCAGTGTTCAGAAGGCTGGTTCTCTCTCGTGTTTTTGGAGGTCGGCTCGGGGCGGGGAGTGCTTGTTTAATTTTACCGTATTTCTTCAGTTCATCTCTCCAGCCGATCGCTTTTCTGCAGGATTCTCATCGTGGCTCCTCGCATTTACCCCTCCAGCCTCAGGCCTGCTCCGACACCATGGCCATGCCTTATTTATTCTTATACAAGTTGTTCATGAAATTCATAGGAAGATGGTAGCTCAACATAAAGCCCACCTTTCCTAAGCGTTGCCTGAGACCCAGGAGCTGCTGCGACACAGAGAATAGCTTCTGGCCCTCCTCTGTCCACAGCCGCATGGCCCTGGAAAATTTGTTTTTCTTCTCTGGGCTTCTATAGCCTCCTCTGAGAAGTGAAAATGTGGGGAAGAGTGATCTCTAAGCCATTGTCTAGCGCTGCTCTTCAGAGTCAGTGATTCATTGTCTGCGGGCCTCAAGGCCCCATAAGGATGGCATCTCAGCTGGGGAATCTAAGCTCCCCTCCCCCGACCCCCACCCACCCCCCACCCCCGCCAGGCAAATCATTCACACCTGTGACACAGCCGCAGAGGGTGGCAAGCGGTGTAAGCGGGGGAACGGGGAACGGGGCTGACCCGGGTCCCACAGTTACCCAAGGCACCGACCGGGCGCCCTGACACCTGTGCCGTGACCTTCCTCCAGGAAAGAGCTGCAGGGCCATGAATGAGGAGGCAAAGCTCGTGTTTAAAGGAGAATGGCCTTGAATCAACAGCCAGGAAGTAAGGAGCTGCAGTTGGGGTCTTTCAGGAGACAACAACTGGGGAAGGAGGGACAGGGTGTCTGAGCCCAGGCAGCTGGGCTGTTTATCTCTGAGGAACATCAGCCCAGGGAATAACAGCCACCCACCTGCCCCCAGTGCCATCTCGGGGACTCACAACAGGATGTGGTTTGACATTTACCAGATCCTGCCTCTGGGGCGCCTGTGAAAGCCCCTCCCCCCACCCACCTCTGAGCACCAGGAGAGCCTCAGTACCACATCCTGGCCCCCAACCTCTTCCTGTGCTGCTCTCTCTACCTGCACCCTGGGCGAGCACCCCAGAAGTGCGAGGAGAGGGGGCGTCTCTGCAGCGGCATCGGGGTACCTCCGCTCCGCGTGCAGACCACCCCGCCCCCAACCCAGCCTCTCCACCTGCTGGAGGTCACGCCCCAGATCCCAGGCTGCAGCCGCACCTTGGAGATAAGGAGGAATGAAAAGCAGCTGCCGTAACTGCTCTGACCCAATTGGGGTCCCTTTGGGCTCCACATCACGCGGGCCACTCCCTTCTCCCATCTGCCCCCTAAACGCCTCCCCCACCCTCCACACTCTCCCTCCCACTTCCTTCCACTCATCTAATGAGAGCTGCTAATGAGTCACCGAGGAGGGACGGCTAGATAATGAACAGACTGAAACGAACAGTCTGGGCTGGGTCTGTGTTCTGTCCTGACTGGGTTTCTTTAAGCGTCACCCCCGCCGCTCAGGCCTGCGAGGTCTGGATGGGGGATGTTCTCTGCCATCTGGGCAAGAGGAGGAGGAAGACACAATGCAGGAGGGCATGGAAAACCACGAGTGGGGACTCACCCCTCCACCCCCAAGGAGGGAGCGGGGAGTAGCGGGGTGTGTAACAGGCCACGCCTACTACGCTGCAGCTTGGAGTCTGTCTCGTACTCAGCCCAAAGCTTGGAATCCCGGTCAAAACTATGAAGCAGCCCCATTAACGGTGTCACCACCTTCCCAGCTCTGGGCATTCCCGCCTGCCTCAGGCTGTTCAGAGGTCCCAGGGTTTCCCCCTGTACATCCCATGAGCGGCCGAGGTCCAGGCGAGATAACTTGAAAGGAGGCCCGCGTGTGGGAGTCACGCCGGCAAAGTCAGGGCCAAGAACGGGTCCTGTAGCTGTCCCAGAAAAGGGGCGGCCCTGTCTGCCCACAGGGGGCCAGAGAGATGGACGAATTCCCGGCCAGAGAGAGCATGTCTCTCTGCACCATCCTGAGCTGCTTTCTCCTTCATCTCCCGAAATGACGAGGTTGTGGGGTCATCGACAAACCCATAAAGTCAACGAGTCTCAACGAATGGGCCACGAGGATTTTTAAAACCTGCACTACCTGACTCTTTAGCCCGGGGTACCGACCTCTTTTCCCGTAGACTGTCAAATAGAAAAATGACAACAGCCAACAGAACAGCAGCCATTCGGTGTGAATGAATCATAACTGTACCTTTTTTTTTTGGTCAGATCAACAAAAAATATATTTTTTGGTGTGCCACAGAATTTTAGTAATTAGTTCACATGTGGCCTGAGATGGAAAGGTTGACAGTCGCTGCTTTAAGGAGTGGGACTCAGGCGTGGGGCCCACGACACTGAGAATATTAACTTGTTCTGATGAGTTGAGGTGGCTGTAAGCCTCCCCTTGCCTAGTATTGCCTTTCTGTCTCCCTGTTGCTTTGTCCCGGGACCAGGGCTATTTCCTCACTGCTTTTCTGGAACTTACTACAGTCACCGAGACCCCCACATGTCCACTCAAACCGACTCTCCTGCTGAGACGGTCATTTTGCTTAATCTAAAACCAGCCTTCCGAAAAACTAAACCTTGCTAAAATTCTCTCATTCGTGAAGTTCTCCAGAGTGTTTCTGAATTCTCACAGGAATGAAAACTCTGTTTTGCTTCTCCTATCGACCCCAGCGGGGACCACCTGGGTCAGCTCTCTGTGGGGGGCGGTGAGGCTGCCCGAAGCCCCAACAGAAAAGACCCGTGACCGATGTCAGAATGTGCACAAGGGAGGGTACAAGTTTCACAGGTTTGCCACCCAAGGATCTTTAGCCTTTTAAAATTTCTACTCCATAGTTTAAGATTTAATTTTTAAAAATATTTCTTTTGGGTAAGTTGGAAGAAAAAATCTTGTAAACTTAAAGAGAGGAAAGGAATATCTAGCCGTTGAAAATTAGACCCTGTAATAGGGCTTTACAAGGTAAACGCCATTTCATGGAATATACTTCACAACCCAATAAGGGAAATTTAGATAATTAGCCCAAGGTCATGACAACTAGTGTATTTAGACTTGAAAACCCAGTGCCTCACAACTATAGAGACAGTGAAAAATCAGCATCTCCAGGGTTTGCAGGCAAGAGAAGTTACAAGCAGCAGAAAGATGTGGAGCAGTGGGGCTATTCTCCGCGACACTGTGGCGGTCAGCATGAAGCAGGATATACGCGTCAAAAACCATAAAAATGTGTAGCACGGAGTAAACCTTAATATAAACCGTGGACTTCAGTTAATAATAATGTATCAATACTGGTTCATTACCAGTAACAAACATAGCACGACAATGTAAGATGTTAACACTAGGAGAGGCCTGGGAAGGAAAGAGACGTATGAGAACTTTATTATCTGCTCAGTTCATATGTTCATCTAAAACTGTTCTAGAGGCTGCTGTCTATTAACTAAAAAAAAATAATCAGATGGCACTGTTTCCAGGAGGGATCTATTTCTGCTCCTGTACAAACGTCAGCTAATATCCCAACATTAGTTTCAGGCGTTGCTGACTATTCAGTGAGTTGTAAATGCACCTTGATTTCTATGGTCACAGCACTACTGACTGACTCAGCAAATAAAAATTTTTACGCAGGAAAACAATGCAGCAAACCAAGGGCCTTGGTTAAGCCACACTCTGACTCTGCCCAGCACCAACCTGAACATAATTCATTGTGATATTCAACCCCTGTGAGGGCTCAGAGTGCCCAGCGCACAATAGCTGTTTCATACACAGCTGATCCTGAAGGTCCCATAGGAACCCTCGGGCATTATGAAAACTGTCTTGATCCCTTCGTGTCTCGGTCTCAGATTCTCCTCTGCCAAGTAAAATGATACAGAAAATACACGTGTCTGAATTGTCCTAACAAAGTGGTGTCAGAGACAAAGTATCTTAAGGCTGTTTGTGCCCCCTGGTGGAGCAGAAGGGACATGAGGAAAGAAAACCTTTTGAAGAAGAAAGAGGACAGTGACTGGGTAATGAGAAAGGAAGCTCGGTTGCCAAGGTAACCGTGGCAGCTCTTTCCCGCCATCCCCATGAGCCTTTTCTCTCCTTCGCGCCCATCCAAGGAATCTCTCCTTCGCAGGGCTTTGCCATCACCCAGGCACGCCGCTTCTTTATCCTCTCTTGCGTCTCCTAGATCACCAGCTGCTTCTCTGCTCCCTTTTTTTGTGAGCTGCAGGGGAAGGGATGACAAACGCTAGACTGGGAATTTTTAGAAAAGCTTCAAAAGCAAAACAATCATGAAAACCCCTAAGTGCACGTTTCTGATACTAACAGGACCACATCTGGAGTCCCTATCAGAACGGTCCACAAACACCTTGCCCTTCCCTGGCTCCGGGCCTCATCCAAGCCTCCACAGGGTGTCTAGAGCAGCCAAAGGAGACTCTCCTGGTGATGAAAATTAACCAATTAAGTCACCGGAAGTGGCATCCTCACATGTGGTCACCAGTCCACCGCCACACCACCTCCAGTGACAGGCGCGTGCCTCCTCTCTCGCCTGCACGTGCACAAACCCACTCCCCAGCGCAGACCGCCAGGCACTGGGGAGAAAAGCACACTTTGGGGGCTGCAGTGTGGCGGCCTCGGGCTGGCCAGCCATGTGTTGAGAACTTGACTCTGGGTGCAGGTCACAGGCTCTGCAGGTACAAATGTTTTCATTCTCCCTGAGAACTTCTTCGTGAGGTTCTTCAGGGGAGCCTGGCATGATTCAGCTGCTCTCACACTGACTGGCAGCGAGAAACCCAGTGGCGAACACCCTGCACTGGGCCCCTGAACGAGGGCCCCTGGGGGTGGTGGTGCGGGTGGAGGGGAGCGTGTGGTTTTTGCAGAGAGGTCTGCCCCGCCGAGTGCAGTGTGGTACTCCAGGCACAGAGGTAGAGGCCAGAGTCGTTGAGGAGGGGCTTCTCGGAACTCAGGATGAACAGGTGGTCCTCGGGCCTTGAGGCGTCCAGGTTCAGGGGCGCCAGAGACTCCACCTGGCGAACACTGAAGGAGTAGAACAGCAGCTGGAGGGGCCCTCCTGCAGCCTGTCGGTACCAGTACAGGTTGGGGTTTGACGTCCCCTTTACTGTGCATTCCAGGGAGAGTGGGCTGCCCATAGGCTGCACCTTGGTGGGTGGCCACTCATGGATGGTCTGCGCTCTGACACCTGGCGGGGGGGGAGGGGTAAAGGCCACTCAGAGTGAAGAATCCAGCCAGCCCAGCTCGCCTTCCGTCCACACTGAGGGGTAGCCCCCACCCTTCCATGGCTCAGGCAAAGGGGGTCGGTCACAGGGAGTAGATTGGGAGGGCCCAGTGCGCCGAGGGTCACTGGGCAAGGAGGAACCCACAGAGCAAACTCCGTCCCGGGGGACAGGGAAACCAAGACCCAGCACCCCAGCCATGAAGTCCCATTTTCACTCCACCAGCTGAAGGAATGTACCACAGACAGTCAACCAGTCGCCGAGGCTCTGGATTCATGGGGTCGGCGAGGGTGAGAACTTGAGGGGAGGCTTACCACAGAGGAGGGCACCCGCTGAGAAGGTGCCCAGGAGAAGGGCAGGGAGAGAGCGGAGCATGGTTCCAGCCAGCCTTCAGCTGGACAGGCTGGCAGACTGGGCCAGGCAGGTGGCCAGGCCCCTCCCTCTTGGCGATCTGAGGCAACACTGTAGAGGGATCACGTCCCCTCGAGCTGGGGAGGAAATGAGCCAGTCACCTCTTAAGTGTGTGGTAAATCGCCCCGCCCTCCCTGGGAAGCGGCTATACCCTGTGCTGGTTTGAAAATCCTGCTGGGCTCTTGGTCTGTAAATAGGTTTAATGGCTTGTGAGGCACCTGTAAACAAGAGATGACTCTCTGGCTCCCCCAGGAGCCCATCAGGATTGTCACCATCTGAAAAGCCCAGATACTGGCAGGCTGCTGGAAAGGGGCTTGGGTCCATCTGAGGTTGGAAACCAGCTAGGGACAGGTCCCCTGGTAGCTGGGGAAAAAAGCAGATCAAGGCACAAGAGATCGAGGTCTTCAGAGTTTTCAAAGCAATAGAGCTCCGCTCTGAGGGGAGGCGAGAGCTGCGCTGCCAGCCAACCAAGGCATCTGCGAGCTTTTCATCCTGGCAGACAGGATCTGAGGCCTGAACGGCCAAGCAGCTGCTGAGCTGATCAAGGCTGGACTTGCTGTTCCTTGTGCCTTGAATGACCTTGCTGGATCTAATTTATCCTCTCGTTGCAACGCGAGGTAGAGGACGCATCATGGGGCCTTGGAATCAAATAGATCTGGGCTCTAATCACCGCTCTGCTTCTTGCTGGTTAGAAACTCTCGGCAAACTCTGATCTTCCATTTTCTCCTCTGTGAAATTAAAACAAGGATCGTGATGCCTGCACATGGTTGAAGGATGCCTTTTGCATAGTGCGCTGCATGCACTCAGAAGTGTTAGTTGTTTTTTTAGACTCCAGGGAAAGCCTGTGCCTCCAGCGAAGAGCAGAAGGAAGGTTTACAATGAGATGCGGTAGAGGGTGGGATGGAAGGGGTGACAGAAACGTCAGAAGCATTGCGGGGCCATTGATGCATCATAGCTAAGGGTGAGAATCTGCTAGGCAGCTGGTGCTGTTGAAATGAGACAAAGGAACCCAATGTGTTCCTGGGAACTGCCCCTTCTCTCTGCCTTTGCCATGCTGTGTCCTCTGAGGCTCCTTTTCAAAACAATGACTCAGTTGGGCTGGATGTGGTGGAGAGGAGGAAGCCCAGTACCCGGGAAAGAGAGCAGGAGAAGTGGCCTGTGAGGGAGGATGAGCCTGAAGCAAAGCAGGCATTCGTGACGGGTTCCTGTTTCATCAGGGTCTAGAGATGCATTTGTTGTTGTTGCTGAGGCTGCAAGAACGCAATTGAAAGATAATGTTGGGGCTCTTGCTTCCAACAGACTTTCAGCTGTAGTACATTTTTTTTGTTTGCATTTGAATGCACTATATTTGTGAGAGTGTTTTTATTTTCATTCTTTCCAGATTTAACGAATCCTCTTACAATATTTACTTCAAAGACGACAAAGCACATAGTAAGCACAGTGCACACCCTGTGAACATTTAGAACATGTGATATAGAGGAGCCAACGGTGTTTTACCGTTGTTCAATCTCAACCTTTATAAATCTGCTAACAGGACTCAATAGAAAATCTGCACATGTCAGGATGGGAGGGAGACTGCCCAGATAGATGTGTGCCCACATCCACATGCAAACTCTTTTCTCCTTTTCTTCCCCTTCCCCTTCTCCTTTGTCTTTGATGCTGGAATTTTTGCTGAGTTAGTCTTGAGCAGGGATGTGGATGGAGGGAGGGCAGACAGGAGACGGCAGCAGATACGAGGAGGAGGGAATGGCTCTTGCTCTTGATGGGACCTCGTGCTGCTTCCACTGGGCTGGCAGACTTTCACACCTGCAAAGGCCACGTGGGTCCTGCATAGCCCAGGAGTGCTGATGGCACCCATCAGCTGCATTGGCTCAGCATCATCACCAGGGAGAGAGTCCAATGCCACCTCCCTCTCTAGAGATGGCGCAACAGATTGGAGGGTGAAGAGACGCATCAGTCAGATTGGAGGAGACAGCTAGCTCCTGCCTCCCATCACTGGCTCCAGTAGCTTGGAGCGCTTTCCATATGGCTGATGCCTTAGACACATACCTCCCCATTCTCCATGACCCACCTGCCACACTGCTATGTTTTCTCGACACTTTCTTTCCACAGCCACTCCCATCCTCATTATTGTTCCAGATCATCCAGCTCTTGAAGAGTATATGCAGCAAAACAAATGTGTCATAGCCGATCAGGCCCTTTGGAAAGCAGTATGACCGCCTCTTTGCAGATGAGCTCAATCCTTTTGGATGTGTCCCCCTTCCCCAAAAGTAACTCATCAAAGCATTTAGTAGACAAAACGAGTTTCTAAGGAGCATTCTGCTACTTGGAAAATAAGATTTTTCTCCCTTTTGTTACCCACAAAAATTAGTAAACTTATAAGGATTGATTTGGGACACAGGGGCATAGTAAATTGCAGTGGCCCAATTCAGTGGTAAAAGTGCCACCAAAAGATGGATTTTTAGTGAGATGTCAGGACTGTTTGATGCTGATTTGGGAGTCTTTCCCATAAAGATAATAGTTGGAACATTTGGAATGGATGCGATTTCCAGAGTTTCAAGGAAGGTAAAGAACAAAGGTCCAAAAACAGGGATCGCTGAAAAGCCACACTATTTTGACGAAGGAAAGAAAATTTTTTTAAAATTGAGGGAGAAGTTAGTCGTAGAGTTTAAGAAGACATTTGGGATGGCATCTGGGAGTTAAGAGAATTTGGTGGCTAAAAAGAAATGGCACTAGGATTTAAAGGGACTCCGAGAAGTGAGGACTGAGTAAAACCACTGGCGTCAGTGATCAGAGGCGGGCGGAGAAGCAGATGGGGCGCCCCCGTTGGACAAGTGTAGGAGTGGAGAGAACAAGGGAGGAGGTGGAGCGAGCGGTGGAGTTGGGTCAAGTCTTTTATCCCAAGATAATTGCAATCTGGTTATGTTTGGAAGAAATCTGTGAAAACAAGGAAAGTGAAGATGCTAGAGGTTAAGGAAAAAGGAAGCATGAGGAATTGATTCTCGGGCACCAAGAGAGGAATTTCTTCCTCTGAAATAGGATAAAAAGAGTAAAAGAATGCATACAGGACAGATGGTGAAGAAGGCCAATAAACATATTGAAGAAGGCTTGATCTAACTAATAATCAGTGAAATGTGAATATTTCAAAAAACAAACACCATTTCACCCATCAGATCGGGAAAATTAAAGGAATTAATAATATCAGACACTGGTATGCGTGTGGGGAAATACATCTCATCCACAGCTACAATGTGAACTGCAACAGTCTTTGAGGAAAGTGATTTGGTCATGGTTATTAAAAATGCACAGAACATTTTGTTCAACAATTCCCTTCAAGAAACAATTCCAGAAAAATACATGTACAGGTAGGCAGAATTTATGCTATAGCATTACTTGTGGCAAATATAGCAAATCTGTAAATATTTGGTAATAAATGGCAAATATGTAAATATCAGTAAAAGGATAAATGGCAAATATGTAAATATCCATCAGTGAAAGAATAAACAAATAAATATCCATAACATACAATACTATGCAGGAGTACTACTGAATGAAATAGAGCAATTTATGGTGGCATAAAAATATTCCCAAGATTTCTGTTAAGCAAAATGAGCACGCTGCCAAGTAATATGTACAAAGCATATGATTTCCATCAAAATGCATATGCAAATATGTGTCCACACATATGCACATTCATTTAGTCAACCAGTAGTAATTGGGTACCCGCTATCGGTCCCCATGTAGCTGATTTTAGTAAAAGGTGCAAACATATGTAGAGAAAAAGGACTGGAAACATGCACACCTTATTGATAATAATGGTTATTTCTGAAAAATAAAGCAGGAGAAGGAAGTAACAAGAGGACTCTTGTTGCATTTGCAGTGTTTGGAATTTTTTTTTTAGGTAGCCGTACTTGTATAATGTACGTCAAATACCACTGACTGAGCCTGGGTCTCACGCCCCTTCCCCTGTTTGAGTAGGAAACTAAGTGAATTACAGTCATTAGACTCACACTCGTCCCCCTTCCTTCCATCCATAGTAAATGTCTATTGAGAACAGCATCAAAAAAAGGTGTAGAGGAGTTGAACCCGACAAAAGTTGGGATGCCCAGCGAAGGATGAACAAGTGAAAAGAAACAGACGCAATGATCCAAGAGAGGAAGGGAGACAACGTGGGCTGGAAGTGCTGACAGAAAAGATGTTGAGAAAGAACTGTCTTGTAAGAGAAAGGCGTTCAGTGCTTGGCCCAAGTGGTGTCAGATCTGGACTCTTGAGGGGTTGGTTCCTCAGCAGGTAGCCCGAGCTCGTAAATGAATGCCGGGAAGCGGGGACTAAAGAAAAGAACAGGAATAGGTTCCTGAATCACCTTAGGATGTGAAAATGGGTCAGCAGAGGATGCTAAGCTCTAGATTTCAAGAGGGCTGTGGACATAAAAGGCAAAGACTTCAAATAATGATGAGCAGAGGCAGGGTGTTAGAAATGGCCCAAAGGACAGCCTGTCCCACCCCCACCCACCACGGCCCCTCCTCTGGGGCTGGTTTTGGAGAAACCTCAGTGGAAGCCAAGAGTGGGAGGAGGAGTTTCTAAAGAGGGGGACTAGATAAGGCAAGGGTGTGAAGCTACAATAAAAGAGTTAAGAAAAAGAAGAAAACAGTATGTACACTCACTGCATAATGTCACCAACATTGTAGGGATGACGCTGGGCGCTGCCAACCGGATGGCCGGGGTGAAAGGGCGGTGCCCACGGCTCTGGGTGTGGTTAGTGGGATAATGGAAACATTTGGGCAGATGGCAAAAAGGGGAGCCATTCAGGGGAAGTCAGAATGAGAAGAGGGGCGTCCGGTGGCTGTCACGCCCAGACCAAGGTGCCTCACAGTGGGAAAATGAAGTTCAAGAGGGGAGAGGCCAATGAACAGGCACGCGTTGGAGACACATACACACACACACACACACACACACACACACTT